CGGGTTTCCCTCTCCGGGTGATCCTCGCGGGGGCAGGAGCCGCTGCAGCAGCCGGGGATGGAACACACCTCCCTGCTCTGACAGAGCTCTCAGGCCAGAGCTGTCTGGGGCATATTGTTAACCATCGCTATCTTTCTTGTTATACATGGTTGGGAAGCGAGGGATTGATTCCTGGCTTCTCTGTTGCGTGCGCCGTCTGCTCCAGCCCTCTTCCCCACGCCCCTCTTCGTCCACTCTTCGTCCACGCCCGATGGCCTCCGCGCCGGCGGTGAAATACCACCCATGGCAGGGGTTGGTTGGGGTGCCAGGTAAACACTCGTCCTGTTTCGAAGCATTTTTTTTTTGAGCTCGCTGGCCTGCGACGCCCGACTGCGTCACGTTGTGCTAATATTTGCTCTGGGAAGTGTTTGGCTTCGGCTGCTGCGAAGCAGGTGAGGGCTTCGCTCTGCCCTGCTCCCCTCTCCGAGCTGCAGAGGGGCTTGCTTTGGATTTAACCTTTCCATATCCTGGCAGGGCTGGGAGGTGAAAGAAGCCAGAAAGGGTTGGCTTGTTCGCGTCTTTTGCACTGACGGGCTTCAGCGTAAGCCTGCAAGAGGGTTTTTGGGGTTTGGTTAATGATTTACACGTGAACCCGGGGAGGGCAAGTGAGATGCAGCATTCACGAGAGGTCACATCCCCAACAAGGGGAAGAGGGACGTGTCCCAAGTCTTCTCTTTGCTGCTCGAGAAATAGAAGTGCAGAAGAACGGTCACCACATCCTCAAAAGAACCCCCGAGCCACTGCCTGAAGGAAGCTGCTCTGGGATGTGCCCCAGCAGCGTTTCACCCGCTGCCTTACGGTTGGTTTAAGCCAAGCTGGGTGCTACAAGACACACGTGGATTCTTCCTTCCTCTCCCGGCCTGCGAGCGAAGGGCGAGCTTCCCGGCGAGCTCCCTTCTCCCCCGAGCGAGGCAGCTGCTCCTCATGAGATGTGACGCTCGGAAAACTTGGCTGCTGGTCGCGTCGTGAAGCTTCTAGGTTAAACAAGGAGCCGGCGAGGGCTTCTCCTGGCTCGTGTCTTGGCAGGGGGATGTGTCTCGGTTTGTCTTCCTGCCTGGCAGATTTGGGAGGGTGGGGATGGGGCTGGAGCCGCCGCGGATGGTTCGGTCCTCCCGTGATGAAGCCTCCCGGTTTAATCGGAGCCAGCAGTGGGAGAACCTCGATCTTATTATTCCTTCACAGCGGGGCACCAGGGGCATTTCATGGGATGTCAAAAGGAGGATTAAATTAGTCTGCGAGCAGGTTTTTTTTTTACCTCTTTCACATCTCTGGGAGGGTGTTAAGCCTCCAGAATCGCTGCGGAGATCGGTGCCTCTGCCATGGCATGCAGGCCCTCGGCACAGCCCAGCTCCCTGCCACACGGCTTGTTTGCAGCTTTCCGAGGTGCAAAGCCGTGGGTGGAGAAAAGTGAGGAATGGAACTGCTTGGGATAACTGCACCTTCCCAGGTGTAGTCACAAATAAAGGAGGTTTCCGGAGGTGCGACCTTTTTATTTTTGCAAAAGCCACCCGGGCCCCTTTCTGCATGCGGAGGCTGCGGCGCTTTTGGCAGGGGCCGGGCGACGGCAGCGAGTTTCACTCCCCTGATCTTGTCCTGGCAGGCAGAGCAACTGCTCCCTCGGGTTTTCTGTTGTGTTTTGTTTTGTTTTTTTCTCTCTAAACTCAGTGCGTCTAGAGGAACGTGCACCTTCCTGTCTCGGAACCTGCTCGCTGGGGTGTGTGCTGGCACCACAAGCACGGCGCAGGCGTCCAAAATCATCATAGAATCACCCAGATTGGAAGGGACCTTAGAGATCACCTAATCAAACACACTG